TTTTTCCTTCTTTAGGAAGGAAATCCTCTGCTGCTCTTGGCTGCTCCCTGGGCTCTGGGGGGATTTCCCGCAGGTTTAAATTCTCTAATTCCCCTTCTTTTGATTTTTTTTTTTGGAAGACCATGGCCAAGGACATCAAATCCAGAGAGCAAATCCCCTAAATCACCATTTATCCTATTCCTTGGTGTTTTGCTGGGAAATTCCTCCACCACTGTTACACAAATGCTGAAAACAGCAGTTCTGAGCCCAAAAACCTGCTGAGCACACCAGGAATTGGGGGTTTTGTAGCTCCTACTGAAAAATCACCATCCCCATCCAATTTGTAACCTGTATTTAAAAAAATAAATTATGATTAAAAAGGTAGAACCATGTTCAGTTTTTTATTTTTGTCCCTGTTATAACCACCTAAGAAGCACATTTTAGGGGAGGAGAAAAGATACTTTTATCAGTTTCTGAGTTGAAAATGATGAAAAACCAACTATTCATCCAATTTGTAGGTATTTTCAAAAATATATTTACAGAGTAAGTTATTTATGTATTTATTTGTTTATTTATTTGTCATTTTTTTTGTCCCTATTGCAACCACTTGTGGGGATGGGGAAGTTGCTTTTTAGCACTTCCTGCACTGAAATTTAGGAAAAATTAACATCTCTGCCCAATTTTAATAGCACTTTTTCTTAAAAATATTTTAGAATAAGCAGCTAAATAAATAAGCCAATAAATAAATAAATAAATAGATTCCACTTTCCTCCCTTTGTTGTCCCTGTTGTGACCATTTTTTGGTAGGGCAAAACTGCTTTCATGCTTTTTGTGCTAAAAATACCAATTTTTAAAACAACCTTTTTGCCACTGAAATGGCTGAAGATTCTTCCTTAGCTTTTTGTTTTATTGTGGGAAATATGCTGATTTTTATGCAGAATCTTGCATTTTCAACACAGTAAAGGACTCCAGGAGTGCAACCATGTTTGGTGTAAAAGATGCTCCGTGTTAYACTCCTTTAACAGATTCCAGTAATTAATGAAGCTTTTTTTTCCTTCCAAAAAGCAACTTTTCCCATCATTTCTGCTTCGTTATTCAGCTTGCACAGCCTCTGATGTAAAACACGGATGCAAAGCTCCCCAAATCCCYTTTTTTTAGCACTCCTCTCCCCAGAGTGGCTCCCTCGATGAGCAGGAGCTCATTGTAGCTCTAATAATCAATAATTTTTTCATTTATCACCACTCCTCCCCGTTTCATCCCCACCTTTGGGGAGAAGAAATTTGCGTGATTTGCTTTTCCAATCCCTAGAAATCCTGAATTTTCAGGTGAAAAGTTCACAGCAGTCACAGCCGAGGTGAAAAAATCAATTCTCGGCCACRGCTTTTCCTCCAAACCCACAAAAAAACACTTGAGCAACCCCCTTTGAAAAAGTAAAACCCCCYTTGAAAAGGTAAAAAAGGAAGGATTTGGTCAACAACGCTCCTGAGGGTYCCCAAAATTCAAAATATTAAAGATGGGCAGCTCAGGGACAGGGAGGGAGAAGGCAGAGGGGACGTTTCCATTTGGAAAATGTCAGTTATTTTAAAAGTCCTTTAAATTGCCCATTAGGACTAAAACGGTGTCGTGGCTCCCCGCTGCGTAAGCGAGAAAGAGAAAGAG